TTATACGAGAGCTCTGTCCAAGTTGTACATGTGACATGCACATACAGCACACACAATATGGGTGAAATTGACACAGGCACCCGGGAAGTGAATGCTACAACAGCCGAGTGACATCTCTGGTGGGCCGGTATTACAGCTACAGCAAAGTTGTCAGGATGTGAATGCTGACAATTTAACATTGTTTCTACTAAATATGGCTTGAAAAATCGATACATACACATAATTAATTTTGTCAAATTTAACCCTATTCATTTTTTGTTGGAACAAGTTATTTCTAGTATGTAATGATTTGAGACAAGTAGAGACAGGGTAGCTCCAGGATGAATGATACCATCCTCCTGTGCAATATTCATCACACGTATCTTTGGAAGAGCATTTTTTTAGATTGTAAGTTTTTGAGAAAGACTGTCAAGATCAATTTTGTCGGTTGTGGAATTTCTACTTTTATATTACTAAATTATTAGACTACGACAACTAATAATATTTTTTTCACAATTTAAATCTTGGCATTAATTACCAATAAAATTAAAACTTAATACCCATTCACAAAATGTATAATTGTAAATGTATTGTATGTTTTAAAATGGATTTCATTGTATACCATTTTCTATGATCTGTTTTAAGAGAACACACATTGAAAAATGCATAAAGGTTGCAACAGTCATTGATTTAAAAAAAAAAATTAAGATAATAGGAAAATAAAGTGAATAAACTGTGGGATGAAAAAAATGCATTTTTACAAATTAACTTAAAGCTTCGTGTGTCTTTGTGTGCAGTAAGGATATTAAGGCAGCAATATGTAGCTTATCAAAGACTCTGCAGTTGCAGTACACAAAGCAGCGTTATGTCCTGGTTAAACTGGTATTGTCATAACAGTGTATCAGTATTTCAAGGCCTTTGTGGCCAATTTACTTTAATGAAGGAACCATGTTTAGCTATGATCATAGCTGTTAGGGCACTTGAGGGAAAGTGCCTGGGAGAATTTGCACGTAGTGTTCTATCATATTTATGTTGTCTCTCCATGCGTTGTTGTTGTTATAGCTATGCTCATACCACACCTAAAATTTACTTTAATAATTTTGTGGACCAGCTGTACCCAAAGTCTAGAATTATAACATATTTATTTTGTCTAGATACTGAGAGAAGAGTATGGGGAAAAGAGGAAAATCTCTAGGAAAGGTCACTAAAGGGACACTTCCACCACCAATAAAAAGTCAGCCTATTAAAAAGTACATATGGTGTGTACTCTTTTTTTCAGTGGGCAATTATTGGTAGATCGAGAGCATGATACCACATTTCCGCAGATTCCTTTGGGGCTATGATCCAAACGTATGAAGTTTGAAACACGATACCTGTCTTTGCGCATTTAAATGTCAAGCTGGGAATAGTTGTGGAAACATGGTTTCTCGAGTTTTTGTCCCCAAAAAAGATTTCTCATACTACAACTTGAAATCTTGAAATATGCATTACAGTGGTGTTCTCTCTCTCTCTCTCTCTCTCTCTCTCTCTCCATACATACATACACTGCTCAAAAAAAATAAAGGTTACACTTAAACAACACAATGTAACTCCAAGTCAATCACACTTCTGTGAAATCAAACTGTCCACTTAGGAAGCAACACTAAGTGACAATTCATTCCACATACTGTTGTGCAAATGGGATAGACAACAGGTGGAAATTATAGGCAATTAGCAAGACACCACCAATAAAGGAGTGGATCTGCAGATGGTGACCACAGACCACTTCTCAGTTCCTATGCTTCTTGGCTGATGTTTTGGTCATTTTTCAATACTGGCGGTGCTTTCACTCTAGTGGTAGCATGAGACAGAGTCTACAACCCACACAAATGGCTCAGGTAGTGCAGCTCATCCAGGATGGCACATCAATGCGAGCTGTGACAAGAAGGTTTGCTGTGTCTGTCAGCGTAGTGTCCAGAGCATGGAGGCGCTACCAGGAGACAGGCCAGTACATCAGAAGACGTGGAGGAGGCCGTAGGAGGGCAACAACCCAGCAGCAGGACCGCTACCTCCGCCGTTGTGAAAGGAGGAACAGGAGGAGCACTGCCAGAGCACTGCAAAATGACCTCCAGCAAGCCACAAATGTGCATGTGTCTGCTCAAACGGTCAGAAACAGACCTGTGACATCCAAAATGTACCCAGCAGCTAGACATTATCTTATGCCTCGTTTCTACCGAGCGGTATGGTTCGGGTCAGTACAGTTCGGAAGGGTTAGAATGGTCCAGCCTATTCAGGTAAGCATTTCCACTGCAAGTCGGACCGCCAGGGGCCATGCGGGGTTTAGACCAAATGCCTAGCATGTCATTTGTCGTGAGCATTCACGGCAAATCCTGTCCGCCAATCAATGGATTGTATAGTGTGACGCCACTATTTCCCAGTCACAGAAGTTAAGCTCACAGGTCTATAATTTCCAGGTAAGGATTTTGTATTAAATCGTTTTTTATTTTGAGTGCAAACATGTTATTAAACATATACATTTTCTGGGTGCATAGATATTAGTCAACATATTCTTTGGGATTGCTTTAGGGTGAATGCACATTGTCGCCTTAGAAGAGTCTTAGTCAAGTTGCATAAGGTAAAACAGAACTTTAGGTAACATATTGCGTTTCAGAATGCAGAATATTTCGCAGCACTGTGTATATAGTAGCAAAAAATTCAAATTTGCCTACTCAGAGGCACCTTATGGTAGCAGAAGATAACCCCAGAGCAGGTTGATTTTACACGTGTGTGCTGAAGCGGGTAATTATAGCAATGTAATGTTAATCATAACTATAGCCATTAATATGAGCGAGTATTGTCAAATGAGTATTGTACAGTGGTCACCCGGAATGGTGACTGGAATGGTGACTGGTTGCATTGGGTCCGACCCAAATGAGGCCTATATATTTAAGTGAGCTACCTGTCGTAGGTTATCATTAGTACTGAATACGTTGCAACGTTGTGTATGTGGGAGCTTAAAAATAAAGTTTGCAGACGCTGAGGCACAATATGATAGCGGAAGATAACCATGGAACAGTTTAACTGTGCATGTGGGTGCTGAAGCAGGACGTTATAGAGATGAAACGTTAGGCAGTGCGACAACTTTTAATATGAGCATATCGAGTCAAACTGGTATTGTATAGTATCTGCTTGAAATGTGGACTGGTTGCTTTGGATCAGAGCTTAATTAGACTCATACATTTAAGTTAACTACCTGTCATAGGTTAGCATTGGTAATTACACCCTGTTTTAAATTATTATGCAAATTATATTTTTCTAATTTACCTAAATAATTGATGTAAATAACAGTCATTCTCATGTTATCAACTATTAAGAGTACAATTCAAATTTTATTGAACAAACCTCCTAATGATAACAGTATTTTTTTTAAACATAAAAAACTTACAATGCACTATTCCAAATTATTACGCACAGTAAGTTTCAAAACACTTTATAGTTTGTAAAGAACTGAAAATTTTAATTTGTTGTGTTTGCAGCATATTTACTGAAATCAAAAGCTATTTCAATCAAACTTATAACAACATTTTAACTTTTTAAACATTTTAACAGGTCACGTTACATTTTAACATAGGACCCCTTATTTGATAGCAGCTTCACAAGTCTTGCATCCATTGAACTTGTGAGTTTTTGGACAGTTTCTGCTTGAATTTGTTTGCAAGATGTCAGAATAGCCTCCCAGAGCTGCTAGATGTAAACTGCCTCCCACCCTTATAGATCTTTTGCTTGAGGATGCTCCAAAGGTTCTCAATAGGATTGAGGTCAGGGGAGGATGGAGGCTACACAGTGGCGTCGCTGGGGGGGGGCAGAGGGGGCCATGGCACCCCCTACATCATGCTGTACCCCCCTTTGGGCCCCCCCAAATGCCGGCAAATTGCTGGCCATGGGCTTCCCTCAGACTGTAACAGCCTGTTACAGCCTGAGGGAATGCAGGAGAGAGGTGCTGGGGGCTGTCTGTAGCTGGAGGGAGCACTGATTGGCTCCCTGGCACAGGCCCCACCCCCGAATGAAGCCCCACCTCCCGCAGATAAGCCCCGCCCCCGCCGTAAAGCAGCAGACCATGCTGCTGCAGAAGATGGCTGCCTGACCCCCAGCAACATCCTCCAGTGACAGTCCCCCCATACTGCCCCCATACACACACATTGCCCCCCATACTGCTCCCCATAGACACACATTGCCCCCATACTGCTCCCCATA